TTAGTTATTATGTTTATTCTTCTTATGTTTACTATTCTTACCCTTCTGATTCGTACTGTAATTGCCATTAGTAGTTTGATTCGTATTCTCACTATGATTACTAGTATCATTTTAGCATTCCTCCCTCTCCTCCGCCTCCTCCTCTTCGTCCTCCTTCTCCTCCTCCTCCTCCGCCTCCTCCGCCTCCTCCGCCTCCTCCTCCACCACCTCCTCCTCCTCCTCCTCCTCCTCCTCCTCTTCCTCCTCCTCCTCCCTCGCCGATCCCCATCCGATCACCTTCTCTCCTAATCCACCGATATACTTCTTCACGACCCCATCATCTCCACGTATCTCCTCCTCCTCCTCCTCCTCATCATCCCCGTCCTCCTCCCCCCTCCTCCTCCTCCTCCTCCTCATCCTCCTCCTCCTGCTCATCATCAGCAGACTGTCATCATCATCATCATCATCATCATCATCATCATCATCATCATCATCATCATCATCATCATCATCATCATCATCATCATCATCATCATCCTTACCATCATCAACAGCATCATCGTCCTCACCCATCATCCTCATCCTCATCCTCATCCTTCATCATCATCATCATCATCATCATCATCATCATCATCATCATCCTCATCCTCATCCTCATCATCATCATCATCATCATCATCAGCAGCAGCAGCAGCATCAGGTTCATCGTCCTCATAATCAGCACCATAATCATCATCAAAGGCAGCATCAGCATCAGCATCAGCATCAGCGTCATCATCATCAGCAGCAGAAACATCATCTGAATCATCATCAGCGTCAGCACCATCATCATCATCATCAGCAACCTCATCATCATCATCATCAGCATCATCATCATCATCAGCAGCAGCAGAACCATCATAGCCATAACCATCGTTATACCACTACTACCATCAGCAGCATCATGATCATCATCACCATCATCACCATCAGCATCATCATCATAATCAGCAGCTGCAGCACCAGCACAAGTAACAGCATCAGCAACAGCATCAGCATCATCATCGGCATCACGATCATCATCAACATCATCAGCATCATCAGCATCATCAGCGTCACCATCAGCCTCATCATCCTCAGCTTCATCAGCATCAGCATCATCAACCACATCATCATCACAACAACCACCAACACCACCATCATCATCTTCACCATCGTCAGCACCAGCATCATCACAATCATCGCCACCACCCTCATCATCATCATCATCATCAGCATCATAATCGGCATCATCATCACCACCATTGCCACGATCAGTATCATCATCATAACCACCATCACCATCAGCAGCATCAGCAGCATCAGCAGCATCATCAAAAGCATCCTCAAACTCATCATCATCATCATCATCATCATCATCATCAGCATCATCATCAGCATCATCGCCACCACCATCAAGACCATCAGCGTCATCATCACCACCATCATCGACATCATCAGAACCGCCACCATCATCATCAGCGTCATCATCAGCAGCAGCACCATCATCAGTAGCATCAGCTTCATCAGCAGCATCAGCATCATTAACATCATCAGCATCATCAGCATCAGCATCACCATCATCACCATACTCACCACCAGCATCATCGTCATCATCAGCATCATCATCAGCATCATCACCATTCTCACCAGCATCATCATCATCATCGTCCTCATCATCGCAAGCACCATGATCATCATCAGCAACATTAGCATACCACCATCATAAACATTATCAGCATCATCATCAGCATCAGCATCAGCATCAGCATTGTCATCAGCATCATCAGCATCATCATCATCATCATCATCATCAGCATCACCATCATCCTCATCATCCTCAGCTTCATCATCAGCAGCATCATCTCGCCTCTCTCCTCTCGTCCGCATCCTCCTCCTCTGCCTCCCTCCTGCTCCCCACCCTCCTGCTTCACCCGTGTTTGCTCCGCTGCAGAAGTCTCCCCGACGTGACGAGACTGCACGAGAGAGAGAGAAAGAGACAAAGACAGTTCTGGGCGCAGGACGTCGGCAACGTCGGATACACGCAAGAGTGACCCTAGGCAGAGTGACCTTTCGCGCGCGGCTTCACAGGGGACGCGGGGGGGGCAAGCCTGGGCGAGCAAGCCGCTGCTACCACTTCGCGTTCAGCGATCGAGGGGCCCCGTTGGGCCCGCACGAGCAGGTCACTCTGGCGAAAGGTCACTCTTACGTCTAGTCGAAAGCGGGCCCGCACGAGGTGCACAACCGTAGGTGAAGGTCTCCTCGCCCTCCGTAATTCAGTGCACTGCCCTGTGCCTGCTCCATCCTCCTCCTCCTCCTCCTCCTCCTCCTCCTCCTCCTCCATCTTCACTCCCCATCCGATCCACTCATCTCCTAATCCACACATCTGCGTATCCTCATCCGATGCCTGCATTCGTCGTCGGTGCCGCCATCGTAGTCGTACAGAATGCCTCCTCATTTCCCTCATCAAATGATCACCTCTTCTCGCCTCTCACTTCCGCCTGCTCCCATTCCTCACCCAACCTCTCTTCCTCCCCACTCGTGTCCCTCCTTCCACTGCCTGTCGTTTCGTCCCAATGTTCTCTCCTCTCCCCTCCTCACCTCCTCACCGACCCCCATCCCCATCTGCGTATCTCCTCCTCTTCCTCCTCATCCGCCTCATCGTCGTCCTGCTTCCCCTCCTCTCCCCTGCTCGCCGCCCCCCACTAACTTCCGTTCGAATCCTAGCCCCCTCCCCCTCGTAAATGCCTGGACAGTCGAACCCAGGACAGAAGAACATCCTTCAAACACACGAGACCCTCCGGCGGCCAAAACGCACAGAACATCCAAGGGGGTACCCTCCCCAAGTGTCATAAGAACATCCTGTAAGCACGGAGACCATGAGGGCACGCTCCCCGAACCGACCTCGATCTTGTACCTCGGTCCGGCTGCATGTGTGAACCCCTCATGTGTCGCGATCCCCCTGTTCGGCTCCTCCCTCCTCCCTGCAGGAGGAGGAGCGGCAGCAGCAGCCAAGAAAAGCGGAGAAGGAGGAGGAGGAGGAGGAAACGGAGAAGGAAGGTGAAAAAGGGAGAAGGAGGAAAAGGAGGAGGGAGGGGATGGAAAAGGAGGAAGAGGAGGAGGAAGAAGAAGAAGAGGAGGAGGAGGAGGTGCAGGTGGAGGCGGCGGCGAAAGACCGACAGGGAACACCAACCAGACTCCCCTGGAAAAGTGGCGCTGGAGCTCTCCTGACCACCGCGCTGGCCCGCGCTCCGAGCCGCGCCCACGAGGCCCAGGAAAGGGAGGAGGGGCCACAGCGGCGCGCGAACCCCAGCCGCGCGAACGGCGATGTTAGTCAACGGCGATGTTGCGAATATGGTGTTTGCAACGCCGACTTCGCGGAGAACAAAGGGTAGGAACACAGGAGAAACGCTTTTGTTCCTGCAAGCGGGCTGGCCACGAACCGATCCCACCTACACTACCGAGGCCGATATCGCCGTTACCTACAACAGGGGCCCGACCACAAGAAACCTTCCACAAGAAACTCAACCCTGGAACCCCAGGACGTCCAGTGACTGTTGGCACGGGAGCGTTACGCTGTCAAGCTTTCCATCGCAAAAACCATCGAACCCCAAGAAACCCAGGGCACCCTGGAGGCAAGCAGGGTGTTTCTTGGCATGGGCCTCCACTGTACCTGCATCGCAGTCAGCGTGTCGACGCGCGAAGGCGCGGACGGTCGGGAGCAGGGAGGGATAAACACAGGCCCGTCCTCTGCCCCACCACGCGCAGGCGCTGCCCCGAGCTCGCGAGCGGCGGGGGCGGGCGCCACGAACTCTGGCTCGATCGGATGCCAGCCCCACGAGGGCGGTGCAGAGGGAGGGGGGAGGAGGAGGCGGAGGAGGCGGAGGAGGAGACGGAGGAGGAGGAGGAGGAGGAGGAGAGAGATGATAATGGTGTTGATGCTGATTACCATGCTGATGCTGATGCCGGTGTCGGTGTCGGTGCTGGTGCTGGTGCTGATGCTGCTGATAATGATGATGGTGATGATGCTGCTGCTGACGATGAGTATGATGATGATGATGATGAAAATGCTGATGATGATGGCTATGGTGGTGGTGATGGTGATGGTGGTGGTGATGAGGACGAGAATGAGGATGCTGGTGATGACGATGACAAGAATGATGCTGGCGATGACGATGGTGATCACGACGGTGATGATGCTGACGATTATGATGATGATGATGATGATGATGATGATGATGATGATGATGATGATAGTGATGATGATTAGGAGGATGATAATACTGATGCTGGTGATTATGATGATGGTGCTGATGAGGCTGGTGCTGGTGATTATGATGATGATGACGATGGTGCTGATGTTAAAGACGATGATGGTAATGATGATGCTGTCGACGATACTGATGATGATGGTAATGATGATGGTGATGAAGAGGAAAAGCGGATGCGGATGATGATGATGATGATGATGATGATGCTGATGAGGATGGTGATGTTGATGATGCTGATACTGATGCTGCTGATGATGAATAGCTCGGTGATGATGATGATGCTGATGATGAGGATACTGATACGGATGTTGCTGCTGACAATGACGATGACGATGACGACGATGATGAGTATGCTGGTGATGGTGATTGTTATGATGATGCTGATGATGATGACGAGGAGGATGAGGATGGTGATGCTGCTGATGCTGATGATGATGCTGCTGATGATGATGAAAAGGTTGATGATGATGCCGATGATGCTGACGATGATGAGGATACTGATGCTGATGATGATGATGTTGCTGCTGTGACAATGATGCTGATGATGATGGTGATGGTGATGATGATGTTGTTGATGATGAGGATGAGGATGAGGCTGAGAAGGAGGACGAGGAGAAGGAGGAGAGGGAGGAGAAGAAGAAGACGAATCGTGCGACGGGGGGGAAGGGCAGGGGGGGGGGGGGGGGCGAAGGCCAGGGAGGAAGAGGAAGGGGGAAGCGAAGGAGCGGGAGGTCAGGCCAGGGCAGCCCCGAGGTGGTGGCGGTGATGGTCGTCGTCATCGCCGTCGAAGGCCTCGGCGACAGCCGGGACCGCCGCCACACGGGGGGCCGCGGCGGCGCCCACGGCGAGAGGCTTGGCGGCCTGGGCGTGCGGCCCGGCGCCTCCCACGAGGGTCCATCTCCGCCTCCTCGTCCACCTCCCTCGTCGTTGTCTTCTCCTCCTCCTCTTCCTCCTACTCCTCCTCCTCCACTTCCTCATCATCCTCCTCCTCCTCCTCACTCCCTCCCTCCTCCTCCTCCTCCTCCTCTTCCTCCTCCCTCCCCCTCCTCCTCCTCCGCCTCCCCCTCCTCTTCCTCATCCTTCCTCGTCCCTTCCTTCCTCATCGTCTCCTCCTTCCTCCTCCTGCACCTCCACTGTCATCCCTTATCCTTATAAACAACTCCTCACCCTCGCACTCCACGACAGGTCGGTAGGGCGAGCTGGAATTCTCGCAAGAGACTTCATCATCATCCCATGAGCCTCAAAGTAAAATTCTGGACCAGCTTCAAGGATGAAGGGTGGTCCGTTTTCCAAATGTGAAACTCGCCCTTGCGCCGCGCACATTCGTCTTATAAGTTCTGTCAAAACTTCAAAAATGGAGGGCGGCTGCTTTTCGAAATCTTGCTCTCGCCAGAGGACCGCGCACATTCCTTTGACAAGTTTGCAGCAGCTTCAATTGTAGAGGGCGGCTCATTTGTAAAATGCGGCTCCCGCCTCAGCACTGAGCACATTCGTCTTCAAAGTTTTCGATAATGTCCAGGGCTAGTACGGTTGAAGTCCCAAGAACGGTGTCCTGGCGCGGTTTATGATTGCCAGGACGCAACAGTCACTTTGATTCGCGGTGTTGAAGTGCCAGGATCGGTGTTCTGGTATGGTTTGGGATTCAGGACGCAACGGTCACGTTGATTCGAGGCGCTGAGCTCACAGGAACGATTTTGTGGGACGATCTAGGAATTATCACACTGATATCTTTCGATAGGTCCCTTCCAGCAATGAAAACAGATTCTTGTAGGAACCTGTGAAGAGGCAACCTCGAGGGAGGGTTTCTTGCAACATCGTTGATGCGTCTTAGGTTTCTACTGGTCCTCCTCCTCCTCCTCCTCCGGCATGCCTCGGTTCACAGATTGTCAAGAGAGTTGTACCGGTGTGCCGCTGGGGCGGCTGTCCGTGTTGGACCCCCCGTCGCAAGAAGGGGTGCGCACTAATGCGGCGTTGCGGGGAGACGTCGCACCAGGGGCCGCGGTGCCTAGTGCGCGCTTTGCCGTGGACGCGTGCCCTGAATTGCGGACAATCGCATCCAAAAGTATCCTCCTCCTCCTCCTCCTCCTCCTCCTCCTCTTTCTCCTCCTCCTCCTCCTCCTCCTCCTCCTCCTCCCCATCCTGCTCCTCCTCCTCCTCCTCCTCTCCTCCTCCTCCTCCTCCTCCTCCTCCTCCTCTCCTCCCCCTCCCTCCCTCCTCCCTCCCTCCCTCCCTCCCTCCCTCCCTCCCCTCCCTCCCCCCCCCCCTCCCTCACTCCCTCCCTCCCTCCCTCCCTCCCTCCTCCCTCCCTCCCTCCCTCCCTCCCTCCCTCCCTCCCTCATCATCCTCATCATCATCATCATCATCATCATCATCATCATCATCATCATCATCATCATCATCATCATCATCATCATCATCATCATCATCATCATGATCAGCATCAGCAGCAGTATTATCATCATCATCATCATCATCATCATCATCATCGTCACCACCACCACCACCTCCATCATCATCAGCATCATCATCACCATCATCATCATCCTGATAATCATCATGATCATAGTCATCATTATCAACAACCTCAGCATCAGCATCATCATAACCATCCTCATCGTCATCGTCAGCATCGTCATGGTCATCACTATCAACATCATCATCATGATCTGCAACATCAGCAGCATCATCATCATCGTCATAACCATCATCATCGTTATCATCATCACCATCACCATCACCATCATCGGCATCGGCATCGTCATCATCAGAGTCACCATCACCATGATGCTCATAATCGTACGCATCATCACCACCACCACGGGCACCATCACGCGCTCAGACGCTCAGATGCCTCTGCAGAACGCCCAGGCGCTCAGAAGCCTCAGAAGCTTATGCAGAGAGCGCACACGCTTCTGAAGGCTGGTCCTACAGTGGCCGTTCTTGTTGCAAAGAACCTCGTCTGGGTTGTAAAGTGGTCGGTCTGGTAGTAATGTGGGTTGTTATGGTTGTTAAGTGGTCGCTCTCAAAAGAAAACCATGGAGTTCGATCCTTTGCTGGTTGTAAAATGACTCATTTCGGTTGTAAAGTGTCCTTCTGGTTGTAAAGAGACCGAATGCCGGTCCTGGGGGGGGTCAACACAAGAATCCAGGGTGAAAGCCTGCACTAGGAGCAAGAAGCTGAGAAAAAAGGGGAGGTGCCCTGAACTATGCGCATCTAGCTCCTGCGCAAGCAAATCGGAAGGCACCAGGACCAGCTTGTCAGGCCCGTATATGCCGCCACGCTGGTTCCCGCCACGCTGGTTCCGGGCAGGAAGAAAGGAAATGAAGGGAAGCAACGAGCAGAAGCGAAGGGAGGGGGAGGAGGGGGAGGAAGGGGGGGGTCGCCAGCGAGGGCCCGGGGGGGTCGCAAGCGGGGGTCCTGGGGCATGTCCCGCCTTCAGGGTCGGCGGCACGGGCCGTCAGGCCTTCGTAATCTTGTGGCAGGTTAGTCGTCGATCTCTGCGGGTCCGAAGGTGCACGATTGCTGCTGTGGCTCCCCGAAGCCATCTAGAGTTAAGAACCTTCCGCGGGGCACGTGCTGGCAGGCCAGTATTTCATGGGATGTGCCTTTTTCATTTCATTTTACACCCCTGCTAAGCGCGCCGCTTGGGTGTAATGACTGGTGACACGACCCTTCTGCCCTGCCGCCCAACCTCACGCTTCGCCGCCTGGCAACAGCGTCTTGGCCGCCATTTTCAGCGTGTGGAAATCGCCCCCATCGAAAGACCGGACAGCAAACTCATCATCCAGGTGGGGGAACACAAAACGCAGATAACGCCACTTCCCAGGCCTCTCCCGGGGCGCGTTCTCACCAGGACTTCGGGGCGAATCCAGCCGTGGCGACAAGCGATGGGCGGCGGCATCAGAATCGTCTGCGCCTCTGGCGCAGGGCCCATGATGGCCCCAGCCAGGAAGGGGTGCTCAGAATAATATTGCGCCATCCCTTCTCCTTATAAGTAACTCCTCCTTGTCACACACACACAAACACACATACATGTGTCGGCAGGGCGGCCCAGGCGTTTCGCCTGAGACTTCCTCCAAGAGCTTCACGGATGGAGGGCCGCCCCTTTTCAAGACGTGGCTCTCGCCTGAGCGCCGCGCACATTCGTTCTGAACTGTGCAAAGGCTTCACGGATGGAGGGCGGCTGGTTTTCAAAATGTGACTCTCGCCTGAGCGTAGCGCGCATTCTTTTCAAAAGTTTGCAGCGGTTTCAGGGATCCGCGTGGCCAAAGTCCCATGAGCGGCGTCATGGCAAGCTTCAGGGTTGCCAGGACGCAACGGTCACGTTGATTCGAGGTTTTGAGTTCACAATAGCGGCGTTCTGGCACGTTTTACAAATGTCAGGACGCAACGGGCACGTTGATCCGCGGCGCTGACCTCCCAGGAATGGTGTTTTGGAGCGAATGAAGATTCACAGTCGGTTGTCCTCCGACGGGCCACTTCCTGCAATGAAACTGCAGTCTTGTGGGGACCCATGGACAGGGAACAAAGGGGGAGGGTGGATTGCAACATCGTCGATGCATCTTGGATTTACACTGGTCTGTCTCCTCCTCCTCCGCCGCCTCCTGTCCCTCGCCGCGGGCACGCGGAGCCCAGCTATGGCTCCAGCGGGCGCGGTCGCATGCGACCGCTGACGCATGCGGTACTACCCTCACGCGCTTCGTGCCCGATAAAAGACACCGACTATAATACCGATGGGCGAGCGCGAATGCGGTCGCCCCGCGGCACACACCTCACGCACTTGGTGCCACTGGAAATTCGTCACCAAGACAGCCCGCTCGCCCGAGGCTCGCTAGCCCGGAAGCCCGCTAGGGGCTCGCCCAGGCACCGCTCGCCCAGAAACCCGCTCGCCCTGAAGCCGGCCCTCGGCCGGGCAATTCCTAACGGCCGAGCGAACCCTAACGGGCGGGTCGGTCGGGCGAACCCGAACAGGCAGGTCAGGCGGGCGGGAGATTACAAGGCGAGCGGGCGGGGCGTCAACAGAGCGAGTGTGGGCCGGAAGTCCACCCCGGGTGGGATGGGCGGGCGCAACCTGGCTGGCGGGTCGGGCGGGCGGGCGGACCCTAACGGGCGGGTCAGGTGGGCGGTAAGGCGGGTTTGATGGACCTCTCTGCTGGAGCACTCTCTGCCAGAGCGGTCTCTGCCGGAGCAGGCTTCTGCCAGAGCGGGCTTCTGCCGGAGCAGGCTTCTGCCAGAGCAAGCTTCTGCCCGAGCGGCCTTCTGCCGGAGCGGTCTCTGCTGGAGCGGACTTCTGCCGGAGCGAGCCTCTCTCTGGCCTCCACCAACTGAGGAGCCCCCACGCGCCTCCAGCACCACGGCAGGCACAGTCGCGCCCGGGTCCGCGAGCACGGCCATCAGGGCGTCGAGCTTCGCGCTCACCTCATGTTTCCCCTCCTCCTCCGAATCCTCGTCCTCCTCCTCCGCCGCCTCCTCCCCATACTCCCTCCCCGCCTCGGTTGGTCGGTCGATCGAGCGGTCAGAGAGTCGAGGCCGAGATGGGAAGACGAGGGCGACAAGAGCAATGGATAAATCACGGATTAGGGACGGCAGTAGGCCCAAGAGCGGGACAAGCTGCGACGCGCCTTCCACACAACACGCCTGTGGCGATGGGGAGGAGGAGGAGGAGGAGGAGGAGGAGGAGGAGGAGGAGGAGGAGGAGGAGGCGGAGGAGGAGGAGGAGGAGGAAGCGGAGGAGGAGGAGGAGGAGGCGGAGAGGAGGAGGGAGGGAGGAAGGAGAGGAGGAGGAGGAGGAGGAGGAGGAGGAGGAGGAGGAGCATCCCTCCTCGCCCTGCGCGTCATCTCTTAGGCTACCCTCCCTCCCTCCTGCCCCCTCGTCCTCACCCACCCTAATCCTTTTTCCCTCCTCGCTGCCACCTCCCTCCCGCCTCCATGACCTCCTTTCACCCTCGGCGCCGCTGACGCAAAAATTCCCAGCCCTTCCTCTTCCCTCCCCCTCCCTCGTATCATAGAGTAAGGCCCGCGACTGGGTGCGCACGTGGGCGTGGGGCGCGCGCTCAACTGATCAGACAGTTTGAGCCCCCCCAGGCCCTCAGGCTGACCTTCCCCAAATCCGTCCCCTTCCAGGCCCACGCCCCAGTCCACCCCTCAGGGCACCCTGGACGAGATCTACTTGACAAACAAAGATATTGGCGCGCCCGAGAGAAGTGCAGCCGTGGCTCAAAGCAGGCTCCATTCCTCGTTCTGCCCAGGTGGAACGGGGCCAACTTCTATAATTCGCGATCACGCCCGTTACTAAAGGGAAATTAGGACACACAAATAAATACACACAAATAAAAATAGTCCCCATATTTTCTCATATTTTCTGGGTTTTTGTCTTCCCCCCCAATTCCCATATTTTCCCATATTTTCCTGGGAATCGATGATTAATTGTGTCTGTGTGTTTTTTTCCCTCCTGAGTTACTGGCTCCGCCCCCGCCCCCCCCCCCCCCCGTAATGTCACGGATAGCGCTGGCGGCCTCTGGAAGTGCCTGGGGTCCAGCGGCAGGCGCCACTCGTGACCTTCTCGGCCCCCTCCCACCCGCCCCCCCCTAACGCCTCCCCTTCCTCCTCCTCCTCCTCCTCCTCCTCCTCCTCCTCCTCCTCCTCCTCCTCCCCCTCCTCCTCCTCCTCCTCTCCTCCTCCTCCCCTCCTCCCCCCTCCTCCTCTCTCCTCCTCCTCCTCCTCCTCCTCCTCCTCCTCCTCCTCCGCCTCCTGCGCCTCCTCCGCCTCCTCGTCCTCGTCCTCCTCCTCCTCCTCCTCCTCCTCCTCCTCCTCATCTTCCACCTCCATTCCTGTCTTATAAATAACTTCTCCCTGTCGCACCCCTAAGCCAGTGTTAATTAGGTCGGGCCGGGCGTTTCGCCTGAGATTTCCTCACCACTTATGACTCTGAAGCTAAAATATGATAACAGTTTCAGACATAGAGGGCGGGCCGTTTTCAACATGTGGCTCTCGCCTTAGCGCCGCGCACATTCGTTTCAACACTTTGCAAGAGCTTCGCGCATTGAGGGCGGGTGGTTTTCAAAATCTGGCTCTCGCCAGAGCGCCGCGCCTTTCTTTCACAAAAAACGAAAGAGCTTCACTCATTCCCATGATCAACGTACCAGAAATGTTTTTTGGGGGCAGGATTCAGGATTATGCGGGCGCAACTGTTATGTTGATTCGCGGTGTCGACGTCCCAAAAAAGTTTGGCACGATTCCAGATCGTCAGGACGCAGCAGTCAGGTTGATCTGTGGCGTGGAAATCCCGAGAACATTGTCTTGGCATGCTTTAAGATATTCAAACGGTTGCCTTCAAATAAGGCAGTTCCCTCAATGTAACAGAACCGTTGTAGGGGCCTATGAAGAGGGAGCTTGGAGGGAGGGTTAATTCCAACATCGTTGATGACTCTTGGGTTTACACTGGTCCTCCTCCTCCTCCTCCTCGTCCTCCTCCTCACTCTGGTAGCCGGAGCGGTCCCCAGGGAGTAGGAGAAGTGCATCAGGGGAAGCGCGTGCATGGAGGGCCGCTCGCGCATCCAACGAATCCCTCCACCTCAGACGAGGTCGCCCTATTTATCGTTTGGCTTCTGTCTGGAACCACGGCGCCCGGGGACACGAACATGTCTCAATGTTCAAGGTCTTGCTTGGCGGTGTCCTGGTTCAGGGGACCCTGACCCCACCCGAAGCCGGGGCGCGCGCCGCGGCCAGCGCGCTCGCCTGCGGGCCGGGCGCGCGCCGCCGGCCGGTGGGCGCGGCCGTCGGGCGCGAACAGCTTGGCGCGTCGTGCGGAAGCACGGCTTCCTCCGCCCTGCTCCAGCCCTGCTCCCTGCTTCCTGCTCCCTCCTTGCTCCGCCGCCAACCTCCTTCCTCCGCATCCCTCCTGCACCCCCCTACCTCCGCCTCCTCCTCCTCCTCCTCCTCCTCCTTCTCCTCCTCCTCCTCCTCCTCCTCCGTCTCTTCCGCCTCTTCTGCCTCCTCCGCCTCCTCCGCCTCCTCCGCCTCCTCCTCCTCCTTCTCCTCCTCCTCCGCCACCTCCGCTCCTCTTCCTCCTCTTCCTCCTCCTCCTCCTCCTCCTCCTCCCTCCTCCTCCTCCTCCTGGAAGACGGAATGCGGCCCACAACCCCACTCGAAGTCGACCTGTTCCTTCTCCTCCTCCTCCTCCTCCTCCTCCTCCTCCTCCTCCTCCTCCTCCTCCTCCTCCTCCTCCTGCATCGATTTTCATCATTGATAACTCTTCCCACACGCACCCCGAGACGCGTCGGTAAAGCGGGCCAGGCGTTTCGCTGGAGACTTCCTCACCACCCATGATCCTGACGCTTCAAATGTGGGCCGTCTTCAAATGCGGTCCTCGCCCCAGCGCCCCACGCATTCGTCTTAAAGGCATGTGACAGTTTCACGGATGGAGGGCGGGCCGTTTTCACAAAGCGGCTGTCGCCTCAGAGCCGCGCAAATTAGTTTTAAAAGCACGCAACAATTTCACGGATGGCGGGCGGGTCGTTTTTCAAGGGGTTGCTCTCGCTTTGGCGTCGCGCCCGCTCGTCTTTAAAATGCATTCGATTCAAAGATGGAAGGCATGTCGTTTCTGTACTGATGCTCTCGCTTTGTCGCCTCGCACATTCGTCTCATCTTAAAAGCTTGCAACAGCTTCATGGATGGTTGGCGGCTCCTGTGGCTCTCGCCCTAGCGCCACACACATTCGTCTTGACAGAATGCAAGAGCTTCACTGATGGAGGGCGGCTGGTATTCAAAATGTAATTCTCGCCTCAGCGCCGCGCACATTCGTCTTACACGGACCCAAGAGCATCACGGGTGGAGGGAGGTTCCTTTTCAACATGTAGCTATCGCACGAGCACCGCGAGCATTCGTTCTGAAAGGTCGCACAAGCTTCACGGATGGAGGGCGGCTCCTTTTCGAAATGTGACTCTCGCCGTAGCGCCGCGCACACTCGTCTCCAAAAGTGCGCAAGAGTTTTGCGGATGGAGGGCGGGCCGTTTTCAACTTGTGGCTCTCGCCTCAGCGCCGCGCGCATTCGATTGTGAAATCCCCCGCATCCTCGTAGTTTCTCCTTCTCCTCCACTTGATCCTTCTCCTTCTCCTGTTCCCCTTCCCTCCGTGCTACCACTACTACCAAGCTGCCACTGGCACAGCTACCACCACTACCACTACCGCCACTACTACCACTACCACCACTACTGCCACTACTACCCACTACCACTGCAACCACGACCACTACGACCATCCAGGGAGGCCGCCATGCCAGAGCGGACAGGGTTTTCGCAACCCGCGCTATTTACCAGGTGTCGTGTCCCTCCAACCCTTCCAGGGAAGTCCTACCCGAACGGGCAGGGCATTCACACATTATGTGCAAGTGTTCGCGCCCCTCCCACGCGTCCAGGGCGGCCCCGCCAACGCGAGCAGGTTATTCGCAGACCCTGGTATTTGCAAGGTGCCGTGCCCTCCCAAACGCCACCACCACCACCACCACCCCACCTATCAAGGGAAGTCCCGCCAGAGCGGGAAGGATATGTGCACACCATATTCATTACCAGGTTTCGCGCCCCTCCAAGGGCGCCCCGACTCCAGGGAAGCCACGCCAGAGCGGGCAGGGCATTTAGCAAACTCATTACAGTTCCTGGTGTTCGTGCCCCTCCCACCCCTCCAGGGAGGCCACGCCAGAGCAGGCAAGGCATCCGCAGACCATACAATTTACAAGGTTTCGTGCCCCCCCCCACCCCTACAAGGAGTCCCCGCCTGAACGGGCAGGGCTTTCGCACACCATACCATTTACAAAGTGTCGCCCCCCTCCCACCCATCCAGGGAGGCGCCGCCAGAGCGAGCAGGGCATTTGCAAACCATAGTATTTACATGGTGTCGTCCCCCTTCCCATCCTTCTGGGGAGGCCCCGCAAGAACGGGCAAGGATTTCACACACCATACCATGTACAAAGTGTCGTCCCCCTCGCACCCCTCCAGGGAAGTGCCGCCAGAGCGGGCAAGGTATTCGCACGCCATACTAGTTACCAAGTGCCGTCCCCCTCCAACCCCTCCAGGGAGGCCATGCAAGAACGGACACGGATTTCACACACCATACCATGTACAAGGCGTCTTGCCCCTCCCACCCATCAAGGGAGGCGCCGCCAGAGCGGGCAGGGTATTCGCACACCAAACTAGGTACCAAGTGTCGTCCCCCTCCCGCCCCTCCAATGAGGCCCCGCCAGAGCGGGCAGGGTTTTCGCAAAACTGCAGTATTTACCAAGTATCGTGCCCCACCCGCGGCCCACCCGCGACCCACCTGCGACCCACACGCGACCCACCCCGCGACCCACCCACATTGCGTGAACGAAAAAAACGGCGCCTGCGGCGGGCTCGTTGCACAACTTGCAAACATTAGGCGCCTGCGGCGGGTTCTTCAGAGCCTCGCAGACTGCAGACGTCCCCCGCCGCCCCCTCACTCTTATCCGCGACTGCGGGGTGCTACGTGACGTGCCCCTCCCAGCCCTCCAGGGAGGCCCTGCCCCGAGTGGCGGCGCGACTGCCGCTCTCGCCCACAACCAGGGGCCCACGTACCACCAGCGGCGGCGGCCGAGGGCACGCAGACGCGGAAGTGGCGGGCGCTCCGAGGACAGCGGCGGCGGCGGCGGCCTGGCGCCCCATGGTGCTGAACCGCTCCTCTGGAGCATATGCAACTGGCACCTCGGCAGCAAAGCCGTCTCGCGGCAAGCCCGCGCTGCACACGAACATGAAGCTGTCGGCGGCGCTCGGGGCCCACCCGATCGATGGTGTAGCCATCAGCATCAGCCCGACGAGGATCCGAACAAGGCGTGCAGGTCGCAGCCTGCCAGAGAGGTCGACCTGGGGCGAGGACCGACGCCTGCAGGCGCTCGAGCGCCCGTTGCACATCCGGGCCACCCTCTGGGACAGCATCCCATGCTTGCTGAAGCCGCCACCGCGCCTCGCCGGGCTCGAAGAAGCGGCCATCGGCGCTGGCGGCGTATTGAGACGACTCCACCTGTGAGGTTGCTGCCGCCACCGCACCTGCCTTCAGCGGGGCTGCGCAGGCTGCGCGGGCACCTGCGACTCCTGCAGGGGAACCGCATACATCAAGCGCCGCTTCGCACACCCAGGTAGCAGCTGCGCCAGCTGCCGCGCCACTGTGGTGCCAACAGAGATAATGATTCCGAGGCGAATGAATACAGCCTCCAACTTGGTCGCATCGAAGCCGGCCGCGCAGACTGGCGGCGGCGCCGCCACTGCTGCCAGGATGGCCTCCTGCCTCTTGAGCTCCGCGAGCTGGGCTGTCGTGTCGGCGACGAGCTATTCACCCCTGGCCAGGTCCGCTTGGACTCCGACCAGCTTAGCCCGCGTCGCTGTGACGCCCTGGGAGGCCTTCTGCAGGTCGCGCTCGCACGTCTCGATCTGTCGCAACGCCGTCCGCATCTGCTGGGCGAGCGGCTGCAGGGAACGGATGCAAGGCTGGAGCTCCTGCTGCTCCGCGAGGGGCGCCACCACGAGGGCCTCGGCCGCCGCGCCGCGGATGCTCCCGGCGGGGGCCAGCTCCTGCCCGATGGCCTGCAGTCGCTTGCGTGCAAAGGCAATCTGCGACAGGCTGTCGACGGCCATCTCGTCGCGGTTCATGACGGGCGGCCACTCGCGCACATTGGCCGCCTCCTGGAGCTGCTGGATGAGTTTGGCCCGCTGCTGCAGCAAAGTTTGCATCGTCTGCTGCAGCTGCGAGTCCGTAGCGTCACGAGCCCGAGGTGAAGGCTTGCCCGAGCCTGTACCGCTGTGGACCTTGGACGAGGGCGACGCCTCCTTCTCCCCAGGAGCCGAACGCCGCCGACTTCGTAGCATTGGGCATTGTCTGCGAAGCTGAGGAACGGTTCGCCCGGGGCATGAAGGCAAGTCTTGCAGTTCCATGTCCTCTGCATCGCTGCCCAGTCTGAGAGCACGGACCAGCGCCCAGCCAGGTCGTGCAGAAAAAGGGCTCGCAACGGTAGCACGTGTCTCGACCGTTACGGCCTGCGCGAAAGTGGTTGAAGACTGGCTTCGAAACAGAGGTAACCACTGGTTGCGAATGCCACTGAAGCATCTAGAGCCAAAAGAGGAGGGGGGGAGGCAGGAGGAGTGGGAAGGTCATCGTAATCGTCACCGCCACCACCATCGGCATCAATGTCGTGGCCATGATTATCATCGCCGTCGCAAGCGCCATAACCATACCCATCGCTATCACCAGCAACATAATCAGCATCGCAACGATCGGAACCATGACCATCCAACCTTCGCCGTGGTCGTCATTGACAACGTGTTTCGGATTCATTGTTTGGCTCCTGACATTCAGGGTCCGAAACTTTCAGTGCAGGCCCCAAGGAGAGCCATACTGATGTAAAGAGTAGGCATTGGGTGGAGCGCCCTTAAGTCGGCAATAACTCAGAACGCATGGGGCATTACACTATCCAAGCGCCCTGAACCACCAACTGACAGATCTCCCAATATATCTGGTGCGCTTATGGGGTTCGTCGCATGGCATTTTCCAAACTCCTCGAGAGATCGGCTCGCGGTATGCAAAACTCCAACATGCCCGAATAATGGCTTCAGGGTTCAGCGCGGGAGCCACATTCGAGCTCGCGTGAGCGGTCTTGGTGCCTCGTGGGCCATCCCAAGAGCTGCTCATCGTTATACAACAGCAGCTAGCGCGTCGCCCAAGGCGGTCCAAGAAACCTCCAAGATCGCCCCAGAAGAGGCCCCAAGTGCCCTGCGCCCCCGCGTTTGGCCCCCAGGCCGCCAGCAGGCCCCCAAGACGCCCCCCACGAGGCCCCAAGACATCAACGAAAGGCCCTATGAGGCCTTCTCATGCTCCTCAGTGGCCCCCAGGAGGTCTCCACGAGGCCCCCAAGCGGTCCCCCAACACCAAGAGGCTGAAGCCCGCTAGGTAATCCAGCCATGGACTCAGAGCCAGCGAGAAATATCACCATAGCAACCACCAACGCAATCAGGACTGCCACCATTGTCATCACCATCACAGTCACCATGGCCGGCAAGCGGTCGCACAAGTTCGAAAGACGCGCGCCCTGGATTCTAAGTGGCTGCAAACTGGGAAGTGCAGCTGGCTGGAGCAGCAACGGCGGCAGCGGCGGCGGCGCATCAGCAGCAGCCCCCGTGGCAGCTGCGCAGCGGAGGCGGAGCGGCGGGGGGATACGAGGAGCAGGGAGCGCGGCAGCCTGCAAGGGCACCTGGGCGGCCACCGCGTCCAGCCTGGAGGTCAGCGCAGCAGACCTGGGCGAGGCGCGGACTCTGCGTGTGCCACGTGCGCTGCTCCTGGGCCCACTGCCGCTCGTACAGTAGGAGCTCGACCTCAAGAGACCTTCCACCAGAAGCCCAACCCTGAGACCCCAGGACGTCCAATGACTTTTGGTGTGGGAGCCTCACGCTTTCCATGACAAAACCATCGAAGCCCAAGAAACCCAGTGCACCCTGGAGGCAAGCAGGGTGTTTCTTGGCATGGGCTGTCGGCCCGTATCAGAAGGACGCGCGATAAGGATGCAAGGGCCTTGGACGTCCACTTCGAAGATTTCCGAGCGGGGCGCGGCCAACGAAAGTGGCCAAGGATGGACCGAGGAGGAAAGGATGCAAGAGTACGGCAGGTTCGCATCGTGCCAACCCCGGCGTTGGTTCCTGACTTGAGCGATCGGCCCTTTCAAACAAGGGTGGATCGTTCAAGGATGGAACGATTCTGGGCCACAGACGGCGTTCAACCTTAAACGCACGCGCTGGGGTCGCCGCCGGTCAACACGACGCGAACCTGCTGTACACCTGGGAAGGTCGCCCATCCTTACTATGCGGGCTGACTGTACTTCCTCTTGCGGCAGGGGCAAGGCCCGCAAGAGCTTCCCTCGCGCGCAGGGCGACTGGGCCTTCACGGGCCGTGGCTCCCCGAGCCGCGGCGGAACGCCCGAGAGCGCGAGGGTACCGCCGACCGCACAGCCCTCCTCCTCCCCCTCCTCCCCCCCCATCCTCCTCCTCCTCCTCCTTCCTCCTCCTCCTCCTCCTCCTCCTCCTCCTGCCTCCTCCTCCTCCTCTCCTCCTCTTCCTCCTCCTCCTCCTCCTCCTCCTCCTCCTCCTCCTCCTCCTCCTCCTCCTCCTCCTCCTCCTCCTCCTCCTCCTCCCTCTACAATTACTCAATAAGAATACTACTCTCCCTCTTCCCCTGATGGCGTGCTGGGAGTAGCCGACCCCCCCCGCGTTTTGCTTTTTTACACACAGGATTCCCGGGAGTTGGGCTTTCGCCTGCAATTTTTTTCGAAATGCTGCTCTCGCTGAGGCGCCGGCCTCATTTTCGGGCCCCGCTCGTTCCGAATCGTGCTCCCGCTGCAGCGCTGGCCTCATTTCCGTGGTTCCGCTCGTTCCGAATCGTGCTCCCGCTGCAGCGCTGGCCTCATTTCCGCGCTTCCGTTCGTTTCGACTCGTGCTCCCGCTGC